TCCGTGAATAGCATAGGGTAAGAAACCTTTTACAAAGAAAACTCCTGAACATAGTCGAGACTGGGGCAGTTTGACCTAGAACTGGCACAGGCACTAGGGTAAAGGAGAGACAGAACAAGTGAAAATATTATCTTCCTATCACTATGAAAAGTCCAGAACATACACTATAAAAAGTTTAGAACATATCCAAAGACAATGGGGTGGTAACAGACATTGTATGCAAGTGTAAACGTAGCTATGGAAGTGTAACCATAGCTATGGAAGTGTAACCATAGCTATGGATGTGTAACCATAGCTATAGAAGTGTAATTTAGTTATGGAAGTATAACATAGCTCTAGCATCAGAAGATTGTGAGCCTGAGATGCTCAACCATTGAGTGTCAGGAGAGGCTTTACCTGCGTTGGACTCAGGGTATATAACAGAATGGATTTCACTAATTGGTTCTGCAATTTCTACCTTGCCAATAGGGGGTGTGCACCCAGTATTGCAATATTGAATAAAAGGCCCATCACAGGGATCTTTGCCTAGAAATTGTTGATCTTGAGCATGTTTCTCACAGCATAAGATAAGCTCGCTGCTGTTAGGAAGATTTGTGTTGAAACTGTTTTTTGAGCCAATGGACTGTTAGTGGAAATGTCCTGAATAAATGTGTTAGGCAATAAAAACCTTGCATGAGAAAATAAAGGAGAATTTTTGCACAAGAACCCTGTGTCGTGTTGCTAACCTGCAACAAGCAGCCCCTTGTCTTGTGATGGGAACAGTGAGACAAACTCTGACACAATGGTGCATATTGCCTATTCCTGCCTGCTACCTCACTGCCACTGGATGCCACTGGATGCCACTGTAGAGACAACAGGACTGCTGTCAATTCATCTGAGACCCGAGGGCTACCAGGACTGTAGAGGGACGATAGGAAAGCATGGAAATGGAAAGAGAGCAGCAATCAAAAAATCACATCTTGCCCTTGCCCATTGTCATGGCCCCAGGAAAGCAGCAGCCCTGACTTGAAGGCAGTGAGGAGAAGAATTACAGAGTCACAGAATCACAGAATGGCCAGGGTTGGAAGGGACCTCAAGGATCATGAATCTCCAACCTCCCTGCCACATGCAGGGCCACCAACCTCCCAATCTGATACTAGAACAGGCTGCCCAGGGCCCCATCCAATCTGGCCTTGAACACCTCCAGGGATGGAGCATCCACAACCTCTCTGGGCAGCCTGTTATAGCTCTGTTACACCACTCTCATAATAAAGAACTTCAGGTGCAGAAGCCCACTGAGTAGTGAGGGGCAGCTGCCAAGGAAATTTGGGCTGCTGCTCAACTTGGTAGATGGGCTCTTGGCCCCTGAATCCCTCCTGCATAAGGGGGTTTCTCCTCCAGTTCCAGAGGAGAAGGGAAGAAAAGTGAGCTGAGATAAATGATTTTCTGCTGTCATCTTCATTGTGTTCATGCATATGGGAAGACGAGTTCTGTAGGCACATGAGATGACTGGGTCAAAATACATAATGCACTATAATAACATATTTAGAATAACTATACTTAAAAGAAAATGCAAGTTTTAGGATGCAATAAACACAACATTTAACAAAATGTTGTCCTAATATAGCCGTATTTCCCAAAGTTTCCTCAGGGCATCCCTGAGCTCCTGGTTCCTCACACCATAGATGAGAGGATTCACTGTGGGAAGTACCACGGAGTACAGAACTGCCACCACCAGGTCCAGGGATGGGGAAGGAATGTGGCTTCAGAGAGGCAAACAGGAGAGTGCTGACAAACAGACAGACATGTGAGGGAGGCACGTGGAAAAGGCTTTGTGCTGTCCCTGCTCAGAGACACTCTCAGCATGGCACTGAAGATCTGCATGTAGGACAGCACAATGAATACAAAACAACCAAAGATTAAACAAACACTAGATTAAACAAAGACTAAAATAAACAATACCAGCTTCCCTGAGGTAGTCTGATTCTGGGCAGGAGAGCTTGAGGATCCGGGAGATTTCACAGGAGAGCTGGTCCACAGTTCACAGGTCACAGTGAGAAGAAAAATCTCTGCAGAATGAAGCATAATAAAAAAAAGACCTGTGCAGTGCATTCTGCATAGGAAATGGCCCTGGTGTCCCAGAGGACATTGGCCATGGCTTGGGGACAGTGGTGGAGATGCAGCCCAGGTCGAGGAGGGCGAGGTTGAGGAGGAAGAAGTACATGGGGGTGTGCAGGCGGTGGTCACAGGCTACGGCTGTGCTGATGAGGCCGTTGCCCAGGAGGGCAGCCAGGTAGATGCCCAGCAAGAGCCAGAAGTGCAGGAGCTGCAGCTGCCGCGTGTCTGCCAGCGCCAGGAGGAGGAACAGAGGTGCACAGAGGAGATTTTAGAAAAGATTTCAGAGGAGTCAATCCTGCTCTAAGCCTCTGGAGACATGGAAGTTTCCATCAGTACCTCTTAGATTTGAAGTGGGAAGTTTTCTGCACTTGGATCCCTGCTTTAAATTATTCAGATTCTGTCCAGTGGCTCTTTGGGAATATTACCATTTTATCACAGTGAGACATGAAATTGACACAATGTCCATCATTGTGGGTAAGGAAAGATGGCATTCATCTCATCCTACTTTTCTATTCTTCAGAGATGGGTTCATAGTAAAAGAATCACTGAACTCATGCTCCCACGCTCAGCAAGGGAGAAAGAGATGCTCATGAGATCAGCACTGAACCAAACTTCTACACGTTTTGTCATCTTGGTAGGGGAGAGCCTGACTTCAAATCAATTTGCAGAATGCTTTTTCTTCCAATCTTGTATGAGTAATAGGATGAAAAAGCTTTGCTGTATGCAGTCTCCCACTGATTAAAATAATCTTTACATCTTGCTTTCTATAAGATGAGAGAAAAAAAAGTTTCTATGAATTGGATTTAGATTTTCCCTTAAAGTTTGTGACTAAAAAATCTCCAGGTTTACTTTCCTGGCATAAGGACAGGTCAGCGCTCAGAGGTAAAGCCTTCTCACTGTCACTTAGAGAAGAGTCAAGCTGATCTGTCCATCAGGCTTGTTCCTACCTGCCCCATGCTGCCCCTTGCTCAGCTGGTGGATGGCTGCACCCACAGGTTGCTCCAGAGAAGAACCCAGGCTGTGCAGAGGGCCACTGTCCAACTGCTCTCTCTCAGCCCAGCTCTGGGAGGAAGGAGGAAAGGGACATGGTGAGGCTTCTGATTCACATGACACTGAAAGGCTGCAATGAGGTCACCCCGCAGCCTTCTTTTCTCCAGGCTGAACAAGCCCAGCTCCCTCAGCCAGTCTTCATAGGAGAGGTGCTCCAGTCCCCTGATCAACTCTGTAGCTCCTCTGGACCCTCTCCAACAGCTCTCTGTCTTTCTTGTACTGGGGGCTCCAGACCTGGCCACAGTTCTGCAGATGGGGCCTCACAGAAGCTAGAGAGGGACAATCACCTCCCTGTCCCCTGCTGGCCACCCCTCTTCTCATGTAGCCCAGGATCCTATTTGCTTTCAGAGCTGTAAGAGCACGCTGCTGGCTCATGTTAAGCTTCTCATCCATCAGGGCCCCCAGGTCCTTCTCTGCAGGGCTGCTCTCAAGCACCGCTCCTTCCAGTACTTACCCAGCATTCATCTTTTCTTTCTGCAAAACAGAAGCAAAGGAAACGCACGGTCAGAGGGAACATCTTCTCTTTCCATAGCTGCTCCCATTCCTACACCCCAAATCTTTTTGTTCAGGGAAATGGCCGATGACCACTTCGGTCCCAAAAATTTTATTTAACAAGCAATATTGGAATCTCAGGAAAAATCTCCCTTCCTCCTCCTGTGTACCTCCATGGACCAGAACTCAGCACCACCTCGACCATCCCTGTTGCTGCACAACACCTCCCTGCACTTCATCCCCTCCACTCTCAGCTCTCTTCGCTTTCTATAGAGAAAAACAATGACAACAGATGACACAACCAGAAGTGTGATGATCACAGCCAGAGCCACCTTCCAGGGATGCACAATTTGGGAAAAGAGATCTGGAAAAAAAATCAGGGAAAGTTGTTGCTTTTCTATTCCCCTATGTGGAAAAGCAAGACATAGACTTGGGAGACAACAGAACCCAATGAAGCAGCAACCAGGGAGCAGTGCCATACAATGGCAGCATCCCCAACTTGGCACAGGTGGAGGAGCTGCTCAGCATCTTGTGGTGAGACATGGAGAAACCCATCGCAGAAACCCAGCCCAACCACCTCATCCATGCAGATCCATCCCCAAATCAAACCATGTGCCCGCTCCAACTCCAGCATCTCATGGAGCAGTTCAGCCCCATCCTCTTTCAAAGGTTGCTGTCCTTCAGCTCTCCATCCATGGATACCCCAGCCATTGACCTGACACCTTCAGGTTCACCACAGCGTCCACATAACCATCACCATCTTGCACAGCGCAGATATATGAGCTGCTATCAGAGGAGCTCACTGCAGTGATGCGCAAATCCAGGTTTCCATCAGAGAGACAGTTCCTGAGCGGTTCTGTCCTCCCTTTACATTCCACCATCTGTTGCAGGCACACTCCATTTTGGTAGGATGACAAGCCCAGAGGACCGGTGCTGGATCCATCTGATGTCTGATCTCTGAGCATCCTTGCAAGAGAACAACTGGTAGCGCAGCACAACATCCTGTCCTTCGTTGGCAGTGACACGGAGGCTCGGTGCCACCACCCTGAGCTGGGCTGAGCAATGAGATGGTGAGATGGTGGCTGTGTTAATGTGGGGACCTGGAACGGCACAGGGTGAGTTGGTGTACGCCCCATCTCATCTAAAACCACTGGAGAAGGAGCAAGAGAGAATGGGGAAGGATTCCTGCGGGTGGGAGCCCATTCACAACATGTGGAGGAGGTGAAGGGACAGAAATTCTACCCAAAATCACACATTTCATGAAAGAACTGAAGAGAAACTCAAGTGGGGCTGGGTGCTAGTCTTGGGTTCTCCCTGTCCCATGGCTGCCCCCACTGCCCCACAGAAACACCCACTGCCCCACAGAAACACCTCTGCCAGGCACAGCAGCCACACAGGACCCCTACCTGATTCCAGATGGAGGAGTTGCAGAGCCACAAGATAAACAAGGAGGCTCCTCCAGGGGAGGGTGAAACTGGGGTGGTTGCAGCCCAATAGGAAGAGCGTCTGTGGGAGAAGGGAAGGGGAGAAGGAGTTGGGGAAAGGTGAGAGAGGAAGGAGATGGAGATGGAGAAGATGGGGAAGAGGATTTGGAAAGAATATGTGGAAAAAGCTCGTGGTGAATATGAGGGCAGAAGCTGTAAGAGAAGAGAGCTCGAGCCTATCAGCTTTGCAGTGGAGTCTCACAATGAGGGATTGTTCTTAGAGGGTCCAATTCGCAGCCAAAACCTGCAGCAAAGCAACTCTATGAAGCTGAGGGGGAGCGATGCAGCCATCCCATCTGCCTCCCCCAGCAGCACAGTGGCTCTGATGAAGGTGGGTGAAAGGAGGAGAGCTGATATCCTCCATGCCTGCAAAGTGGGGCCCACAGAGCACAAATGTTGCGCTGTGCATCTTAAGGTCTCAGTGCTGCAGATAGTGCAGGGAGGTGTGCAGACAGGGGGTGATCATCTGCCCCTCAGTTGGACAAGCGAAGGCTGGGAAGTCTGACCCAGTAACGTGGGATGGCAGTGGGTTATGTCAAGCAGGAATTGCTTTATCACTGGGAGCATTGGGAGCTCAGGGTATCGCTGCACCCAAAGAGCAGCACGAGGGGAGCGATGGCTACAGGACTGTAGGCACAGTGTGTACATAGTGCATTTCTGAGACACTGGTTGCATGTTATCTGTATTAAAACGTGGGAGGGTCTCTGTGCCCCATCTGGTGGCTGTTGGATGAAGGCCGGCAGTCATCCTCACAAAGGCTCGGTGTGTTCCCCGCTGTGCACTTCTAACCTTTAAGGGGAGGTACCCAAATGGGCCTCTGCTGGTGTTGTGTGCAACCAAAGCGTCTGCTTTGCATCTTTACCCACATCCGTCCCACTTTCTTACTGTGACATGACAATGAGTTCTTGTGGCCTCACTCCGAGGGTGGTGACCTCTCTAGTTGCCCAGGGAGGCTGTGGATACCCCATCCTTGGAGGTGTTTCAGGCCATAGGATGTGGCTCTGGGCAGCCTGGACTGGTGGTTGTGACCCTGCACATAGCAGGGGATTGGAACGATGTCATCTTTGAGGTGCTTTTCAACCCAGGCCCCACAGTGATTCTGTGATTCAATGGGAGGGGCCCAGAGGGTTACAGCCACCAGGGGAGGAGGTAATGGGGTCACTCCAATGTGGGGCAGTGGGCAATGGGGCAAAACGGTTGTGGAATCCATAGCTGACTTTCCACTGGGGCTTGATGGGGCTCTGCATCTACCAGGAACGTGGACCCATAGGACATGAGAAAGCCATGAGCTGCACTGCATGAACACTTCTCCCAGTTTCTTCAACTTCCCATGGGTTACGGGGACCAGTAAAGCTGCCAGAGCATTTTCTGAGGGTGCAGGATTATGGCTTGGAGCAGTTGGCAGAGGTGAGTTTGTTCTGAGCTATGCCCAAAGTGTGACGGTTTCTTTGTTCAGTAGGGATTTTTTTAAGTAACTGACCATTAATGCAGAAATTAATGTTTGCCCTGTGACACCCCCACATTCCCTCTTCCCATGGTGGAGGGCTCTGGGAACCAGGAAGTGTTTTTGTGGAAGGTGGGCAATCACTATGTGCACTCAGTGCATGGAAAATGGAATTATTCCTCTGATTAAGGAGAGCTGTAATAGGGGGGACTGAAATGAGGAGGTCTGTCCCCTGGGATGGAGGCACCCCAGATGCAGAAGTTCCCCCCTTCCAGCTGTGCTCCCACTGGCGACCCACCAAAAGATACTTTGTGGAATTCAAACCCATGCCTGTGCTGGGACTGGAGCCTTAATCCAGTGCCTTAGACCGCTCAGCCACGCCACCTCACTTCTCCCTCTCTTTCCCACTGTGCTCAGACCCCATCAACCTCAAAGCCCACCAAACTCCACTGTCCCCCCCCAAAGGAATTCCACCATCCCAATCCCCATCATCCTCCATCCCAATGGAATTACACCATCACAAACCTCATTCCCCTCGACCCAATGGGGTCCCACCACCCCAAACACAATCATCCTCCACCACAGTGGGGTCCTATCATCCCAAACCCCATTGACATCCATTCCAGTTGAATACCACCACCCTAAATGTTGGTGGTAACCCATCATCCTGCACCACAACAGGGTCTCACCACCCCAAACCCCATCATACCCCACCCAATGGGGTCCCACCATCCCAAATCTCATCAATCCCCACCCACTAGAACCCCACCATCCCAACAGAGTCCCACAATCCCAATCTCCATCATCTTCCATCCCACAGAACCCCACCATCCCAATGGTGTCCCATCACCCCAATCCCCATCGCCCTCCAGCCAATGGAGTTGAACCCCCTAAGAAAAGACCAATCCTCATTGGATTTTGTTGGGAAAGCCATAAAACTGTGGGCCAGCAATGGGGACACAGCAGAACTCTGTGGGGAGAGGGCTGTGAGCTCATCAGGGCTCCTGGTGTTGGTGCATGCGGGGGTGCTTCATGAGCATCATCCTAAACCCAATCAACCTCCATTGCAGTGGATCCCACTGACCCAAATCCCATCATAGTCCACTTAGTGGACTCAGTGGGCTCAGTGGAATTCTGCCATCCCAAATTTCATCATCCTCCATCCCAATGGAATCCCACCACCCCAAATACCATCATTCCCCAACCCAATGGGGTCCCACCACCCTAGACTCCATCATCCCCTACCCAGTGCAATCCCTCCATCCCAATGGAGTCCCATCACCCCAATCCCCATCGCCCTCCACCCAGTGGAGTCCACCCCCCAAGAAAAGACAAATCCTCATTGGGCTTGGTTGGGAAAGCCATAAAATTGTGGGCCAGCAACAGGACACGGCAGAGCTCTGTGGGAGGGGGCTGTGAGCCCCTCAGAGCCCCGTGGTGAGGGGGAACCAACCAACCCCATCATGGTGCTTGGCGCTGGTGCGTGCGGCGGTGCTTCATGAGTGACGAACTGGAGACAAAACGCTTGGTGCAGCTGCCACACGGGTACGGCTTCTCGCCGGTGTGGATGCGCTGGTGGATGATGAGCGTGGAGCTGGCGCGGAAGCTCTTCCCACAGTATTGGCAGCTGTACGGCTTCTCCCCAGTGTGGATGCGGCGGTGCCGGCGCAGCGTGGCGGCTTCACGGAATGCCTTCCCACAGTCGCTGCAGGCATGCGGCCGCGGCACCATGTGGCTTTTCTGGTGAAGCAGCAGTGCCGAATGCAGCCGGAATGCAGCTCCACACTGCAGGCAGTGATGGGGCATCACATCCTTGTGCTGCCGGTGCTGCTGTGCAGGTGTTGCACTGAGGGCTGAGCTCTGCCTGTATTTAGCATTTAGTTCTGGTGCATGATTGTGGTGCATGTGGAGCTGTGCCACGTAGGCTGTGTTTGCAGCACTGCTGGCATTGCTGCCTGGCAGCATGTGGCTCTTGCGGTGCTTGCTGAGCGATTTGTTGGCCATGAAGCGCTTCCCGCAGTCGGGGCAGCCATAGGGCCGCTCCCCGCTGTGGATGCGGCGGTGGGTGAGCAGCGTGGCTTTGGACGTCAGCTTCTTGCCACAGTCAGGGCAGGTAAAGAAGCCGTCCTCCGAGTGGCTCTTGCGGTGCTTGCCTAGTGACTTACTGGCCATGAAGCGCTTCCCGCAGTCAGGGCAGCCATAGGGCCGCTCCCCGGTGTGGATGCGGCGGTGGGTGATGAGCGCGGCATTGGAGGAGAGCTGCTTGCCGCAGTCAGCGCAGGGAAAGTAGCGGTGCCGGGCCTGGGGTCGGCAGTGCTTCTTCTGGTGGTCCTCCAGGGCGGAGCTGCACATCAGCACGCGGCCACAGCGGGTGCATGGGGACGGCTGCGTGCGGCGGTGCAGGCGGCGGTGCCGTCGGAGCGACGCAGCATGGTGGAAGCTTTTCCCACGCTGGGTGCAGGAGGTGCCAGTTCTTCTCCGTCCTGATGCAATGCTGCGGGGCTTGATTTTGGTCCCATCTTCGTCCTCATCTTCCTCGTCACCATCATCACCATCATCCTCCATGGATGCACCCTCTGTTGTTGTGGTTGTCCATCCATCATCGGCGTCTGTTAGGAATTGGGGAGGAAATGGGGAGCAGGGTGGGAATGGGGGGTGGGGATGGGGGGCGGAGGGGTGGGAACTTCAGGAAGGGGGTGAGAAGGATGGAAAGGGGATGGGAACCGCAGATATGGGATGGGGACCATGGGAAATGGATGGAGAGGATGGAAAGGGGGGTGGAAATAAGGAGTAAAGGGATGGAAACCATGGAAAGGAGATAGGAACCACAGATACAGGATGGGAAGGAGGGATGAAGGGATGGGAAGTACAGGGATGGGATGGGAACGATGGGAGCAGAATGGGAATTTTGGGGGAGTGGATGGGAATGAAGGACAAAGGGATGGAAACTGTGGAGAAGGGATGAGAAGGATGAAAAGAGGATGGGAACCATAGAAAGGGGATGGGAGCCACGGATTGGGGAAGAGAAGGAGAGGTGAAGGGATGGGAACTATGGGAAGGGGAAAGGAATCATGGAAAGGGGATGGGGTTCTGGTGGGACATGGACACATCCCCATATGGGTTCTCATCGGTTCCCACACCCACTTTCCCCCATTACACCCATCCCCCATTTCAGTGCCCCCATACCTGAGCAGGAGGACCCAGAGGACATCTCCGTGTTGGGAAAGCTCCTCCACCTCCTCCTCCTCCGGACCCAAACCCACAGCAGCGGCCGTGTGGGCTCCTCATCCTCCGAGCTGAGCATGTCGGGCACCCACGGCTCCCCACTGCGCTCCTGTGGCCCTAAATGGGTGGGGGGCGATGGGTCAGGGCTGCTCTGATCCCACATCCCATCCCAGTGCTGCCAATGGAACCCATCAGTTTTGTCTCAGTCTCCCATATGGGGTTTGGGGTGATGGGATTCCATTGGGGTGGTGGGTTTGGGGTGGTGGGATTTCATTGAGTGGGGATAATGGGGCTTGGAGAAGTGGAGCTCTATTGGCTGGTGGGTTGGGTGGTGGGATCCCATTGGGTGATGGGTTTGGGTTGTAGGATCCCATTGGCTGATGGGTTTGGGTGGTAGGACCCCTTTGGATCCCACTGGGTTGAGGATTCCTCATTGTTTCCCATTGGGATTTGGGGGTGTCCCATGGGGTAGTGTGGCCGAGCGGTCTAAGGCGCTGGATTAAGGCTCCAGTCCCTGCGGGGGCGTGGGTTCGAATCCCACCACTGCCAGAAAGCATCTTTTGGGGGTCCACGCCCCAGTGCCCCCCAGCCCCCCTCGCATTTGCTCCCATCTTTTTGCACCCCAAGACATGAGGGGATCCCTATGGGGAAATGGGGGCCCCAAATGGGACTGTGGGTTTGGAGAGGGGGGGGAGGGGGGGGGGAAGGAGGGGAGGGGGGGACGGTCAGTGGCCCCACCTGTGGGGGGAAGCTGTGGGTGGCTGCGGTGCCCCGAGGGAGGGTGGAGAGCGGTGGGGGTGGGGGTGGAAATGACCGTCACTTCCTGCAGTGCATCTGGGACCTGTGGGAAATGCAGGGTGGTGAAGGGGGGTGGAGGGAGATTGGAGGGAAATTGAGGAAATTTGGGGAAAACGGGAGCAAAATAGGGGGAAAATTGGGGTGAAATTGGGGACAATTTGAGGGAAATTGGGGAAATCAGAGGAAAAATGGGTGAAAACTGGGGCAAATGGGGAAATTTCAGGGAAATGTAGGAGAAAATTTGGGGGGAATGGGGAAATTGGGACAACATGGTGGGATGGGGAAAATCTGGGGGAAATGGGGGGAAATTGCAGAGTATTGGAAAAATTGGGGAAAAATGAGGGCAGATGGGGGAAATTTGGGAAAGATTGGGGGGCAATGGAGGAAAATGGAAAAATCAGAAATTAAAAAACATGGAATATGAAATCAAAATAAGCACAATTAAAATGAATTTGAAATCAAAATTAAGGGGAAATTAAAGAAAATAAATAATTAAAGATGAAACAAATTAAAAAATAAAGTCAGAATTTAAAAAATGAGTATTAATTAAAGGAATAAAACTGATATTTAAAAAAGAAAACCAACATTGAAAAAAATATGGAAATGAATTTTTTTTAAAATCAATAACTAGAGAAATAAAATCAAAAACTTGAAAAAAACGAAAATTTCAAAAAAAAAAGAAGAAAATTGAAATTGAAAATAAAAAATATTGAAATAAAAAATGAAATCAAAATCTTAAAAAACTGAAATTAGGGGCAATCAAAACTGGGAAAAAATCGAAATTTTGAAAGAAAATAGAAATTTCCAAAAGTAATCGATTGGTTTTTTTGGAAAAAAATCAAAATTTTCAGAAACCGAAGTTTTCAAAAACAGAAGTTTTTATAAAAAATTGAAATTTTGAAAATGAGTCAAAATTTGAAGAAATGGACTCAAAATTGAGGCAAAAATGTCAAATGGGGACGAAATGAAACGAAGGGAACAAAATGGAACTTCGGGAAGAACGAATTTAAATTTCCATCAAATGAAACAAAACCCGAAATTAAAGCCAAAATGGGAATTTTCAAATGGAAATAATTGGAGGAGAAGGAAAATGGAAACGAAGGGAAAAGGGCGCAAACGGGGGGGAGGGGGGGGGGAGCGCAGGGAGCAGCGAAGCGATCCGCGAAGATTTCAGTACAGCGATCCGCGCAAATCTCCGCGCGGTTTCCTTGCCGTGCCCGTACAGCGCTGTTACCTCCGCGGGTCCCGCCGTCATTTCTGCACCGCTCCGCTCCGCACGGTGTGGATTTGAGCTGGGAGGCGGGGAGGGTCCGCACGGAGCGCCGGGGGGCGGAACCGAAGCGAGCGCGAGTGCGGAACGACCAAAGTGCGGGGGGTGGGGGGAACAACGGGGGGATAACGGGGGAATAATGGGAACATTGGGGAAAATGGGGGAAAATAACGACAAAATTTGGGGAAAAATCAGGGAAAAATTGGAGAAAGATGGGGGAAAGATGGGAGAAAAGGAGGGGAAAAGGAGGAGAAAAAAGTGGGGAAATAGGAAAAAGCTTCGAGCAGAAAGGGAAAGAAATGGAGAAAATGGGGAAAATTAGGAAAAAATGGAAAATTTGAGGGAAAAGGGAAAAAATGGGAAATTTGGGAAATTTGGGAACTTTGAGGGAAAAACTGGGAAATTTGGGTGAAAAATGGGGAAAAATGAAAAATGGAAAAATTGAAAAATGGGAGAAAATAGGGGAAAATGGGGGAAAGGAGTGAAAAAAAGGGAGGAATACGTAAAAACTGGGAAAATTTGGAGGAAAAAGGGAAAAATTTGGAAGATTTGGGAAAAATGGGAGAGTGGGGAAAAATGGAAAAATTGGGAAATTTGGGAACTTTGAGGGAAAATTGGGAAAATTGGGTGGAAAATGGGGAAAAATGAAAACTGAGGAAATTGAAAAATGGGAGAAAAATGAAAAATGGGGGAAAGGGAAGGGCAAAAAGGAGGAAATAAGGAAAAAGTGAGTAAATTTGGGGAAAAATGGAAAAAAGTGGGGAAAATTCAGGGGAAAAAAGGATAAAATGGGGAAAAATTGGAAAAACGGGAAAATTTGGAGAAAAAAGGAAAAAAGTGGGAAATCTGGGCAGAAAAATGGGAAATGTGTGTGAAAAATGGGGAAAAATAAAAGCTGGGGAAAATCAGAGGAAAAAAAGGAGAAAATAGGGGAAAAGAAAGGGAAAAAAAGGGGGAATAGGGAAAAAATGGGAAAATTTGGGGGGGGGAAGGAAAAATTCAGAAAAGTTTGGAAAAATGGGAAAATTTGGAAAATAAAAGGAAAAAAGTGGGAAAATTGGGGGGAAAACTGGGAAATTTAGGATAAATGGAAATATGAGGAAAATGGGAAAAATGAAAAATGGAGAAAATAAGGGAAAATGGGGGAAAAGGAGGACAAAAAGGGAAAATGGGGGAAAGCTGGGGAAAGATTAGGAAAAATGAAGAGAAAATTGAGAGAAATGAGGAAAACTGGGAAAATGGGGAAAGATGGGAGGAAATTGATAAGAAAAGGGGAAAATTGGGGGGGGGGGGGAAAGGAAAAAACGCAAAAAAAAAAAAAAAAAAAAAAAAAAAAAGGAGAAAATGGGAAAATGGATAAGAGGAGATAATGGGTGAAAAGGAAAAAGGGGAAAAAAGAAAAAAAAAAAAAAAAAAGAGAAAAAATAAAAAAGGAAAAGAAGTGTAAAAGAATCAGCAACGGGAGCCCCGCCCGCAGCGAATTTCTCACCTTTTTGGGGGCAGAAAAGGCGGAATTTGGCTCCATCCGGCTCTTTTCGGCTTCTTTCTATTCCTTCCAGCCATCGTCGCTCCCGGCGCCCGGGGCGCATTTTGGGGCCAATTATGGGACTTTTGGGTCCGGTGGGGGCGGGGAAGGAAACCCCCAAAAAATCCAAACCCAAATTGGTGGATTTGGGACATTTCCCCTTTTTTTTTTTTTTTGGGGGGGGGGGGGGGGGTATGGGGTTTTGGGCGATTTGTTGGGCTTTTTGGGTTGTTTTTGTTTGTTTGTTTGTTTTTGTGTGTATGTGTGTGTGTGTTTTGGGGTATATTGATGGGATTTGGGGATTTGATGGATTTGGGGGTGTTTTGTTGGGTTTTGGGGGCAATTTGTTGGATTTTGGGGGTGATCTGGTGGGGTTTGGGGTATTTTGTTGAGTATTTGGGGTCTTTGGGGAGGGTCTTTTGGGGTTTGCAGTATTTCATTTTGTTTTCAGCAGTTTTGGAGGATTTACAATTGATGTGTGGGTTTGGGGTCGTGGGAATTGAATGTTGCTTCTGCATCAGAACAAAATAAGAATTTTGTTAATTTCATGACCTCTGCTACTATCTGGGTCCTTTATTAGAACTCATAGTTCTTTTCAGGCACCCTTCTACTTTATGGGGTTTCTCTGATAAGTTTTCCTTGTTAATCCCCTAGATAAATCTTCCCCAACAGCACATACTAAGTATATAAGCAAAGTAATATGTGTGTGTGTGTGTATATATCCATAGAGGTTAGGTAGATGGAGTAAATTAAAAGCACAAAGACTGAAGCTCCTGTCTGTCCAGCCATCTGAAAAATTTCTGTGCCTTCAGTTAAAGGCAAGCTAGATGTAATAAATATCTTTACAAATCAGAAACCCCTTGATGTTGGAAAAGCTTTTGGTGCTGGATAGACAGAACCTGAGCAATAGAGAATTAAAGGAGGAGAAGTTAAATAATTAAAAACATGTATGTAAGCTAGTAACAACTTACCTGTAGCCAGCATTGAAAATACATGTCACACACAAGGCAAGAGTATCCTGTGCAAATTAAAAGGACAATTCGTTCCATGCCTCAGGGAGTGCCTGAAGAAGGTATTGAGGAAGATCGGGAACCTCCCCTCCATATTCTTTGTTTAACGAGGACTCTGAAGAAAATCACCATATCAATATGAACAAGAAGAGTGTTGAGCTGTGCTGGAGACAGGACTGAGACCAGATAACAAACAAATTCACAAGTAATTAACAAATGCAAACTTTCTGATAAGGCTGTGAACCTGGAGTACCCAGCCAGTGGGAAAACAGGGGAACTGAGGGGGAAAAACGAGGTATATAGACTGTCATACTGTGTCCCTAGGCCCGCTCCTGCTTATGGGATGCCCACCATTGCAATCACGAATAAAATCTGCTTTTATCAAACATACCGTTCCGACAAAAATTATTTGGGTATTTCCAACAGGGTTTTTCGGGGGTGGGGGGAACTTTGGGCCGTTCTTTGGGTCTTTGGGGTCTCCAACCCAACGCTGCCCTTATGGGGTCCCCAGTTTTTGTCTTTGGGGTCCCCAATCCATGGTTTTGTGGTGTCTGCTCCATTTCTCTGTCTATGGGGTCTCCATGGCTGGGTGTGGGGCTCCACACCACCCCCTACATTCCCCCCCTCTCTTCTCTCCCCTCCTCCTCAGCTTCCCTTTTCCCCCCTCCACTCCTTCCCCCCCTCCCAGGCAGTTTGTTGAGGTCCCTCTGAATGGCATCCTTCCTTCCACTGTGTCAACCATACCACTCAGATGGGTGCCATCAGCAAACTTGCTGAGGATGCATTCAATTCCACCATTTATGTCATTAATAAAGATGTTAAAGAGCACTGGTCCCAAGACAGACCCTTGGGGGACACCACTCATTATCAGCCTCCATTGGGACATAGCACCATTAATCACCACACTCTGTCTTGCAGCCTTTCAACCAGTTTCTTATCCATCAGGTGGTCTATCCATCAATTCCACATCCCTCCAACTTGGAGGTAAGGATGTGGTGGGGGACCATGTCAAAGGCCTTGCTCAAGTCCAAGTAAATGACATCGGTCACATTCCCTTTGTCCACCAATGCTGCCACTCCATCATAGAAGGCCATGAGGTTGGTAAAGCATGACATTCCCCTGGTAAAGCTGTGCTGGCTGTCTTGCATCACACGCTCATTTCTCTTGTGATCAAGCATGTCATCCAGGAGGATCTTCCCAGGGACAGAAGTGTTCTGTGATCTTTCCAGTTACAGAACTGAGACTCGCTGGCCTGTAGTTCCCTGGGTCCTCCTTGCTCCTTTTCTTATGAATGGGAGTAACTTCACCTTTCCTCCACTCATCTGGGACTTCACCTGACAGCCACGACTTTTCAAATAGGATGGAGAGCTGCTTGGCAGCCACCTCCTTCTGAATCTTGGGATGCATGCCATCTGGCCCCATAGACTTGCATGCATTCAGTCTCATGAGGTGGTCTCACACTGCTCTGCCATTACAGCAGGGAGGGTTTTACTGCCTGGGTCCCCACCTAGAGGTTAAGGGATACAGGGCTCAGGGGAGTGATAAATATTAGAATCCTGGCTGCCAGTGGAAACTGAGGCAAAGAACTCATTCCATACCTCAGCTTTTTCTTCATCTATTGAAGCCAGTTCTCCTTTTACATTTACTAAAGGAAGTAAACTGTAAAAGTTCCATATGTGTGGCTAAAGGATTATGGGTGAGAAAGAGAGGTCTTTTATTTTCTCCAAATATGCTGTAACATCAGAACTTCTACCCCATGCTGCAGCAGAGAAGGAGTATTGGGGAAGGTCAATAGTTTTGGATTTGCAGCTGCATGAAGTGCACACACAGCAGCCTCCCTGTTTCTCTGGGGGTTGGGAACAATGTTTTTTGACAATTTATGATTGCAAAGTGTGTGTTTGACATACATTTCTCACCTGGGAGGCAGACACTGGCTTTGGCAGTTTGACACACAACATTTGGTTCCATTTCCATTGGTGCTGCTGCCTAAACTGAACACTCAGGTTCCCAGAACTGAGTTGGATTGACACTGTCTCAGTGAGTCATGAGTCTCAGAGGGCTCCCCCATCCTTTCTAAAAAATATCTCAAACCACGAAGGTAAGGAACCGCAGTGCAGTTTGATCCACTGCTAATCCCAGACTTGATCAGGAGATGTGGAAGAGATCACATGTACATAATTAAGAAATAACCTTAGAGAAGGTCACAAAGCTCCAAACTAACCATGAGTCTCTTACAGAAGATCTACATCAGCACGGTTTCTTGACATCAAGCTGCAACAGCTCTCTGTGCAGGTGTGTCCTCAAGAGACATTACTGCTTGAGTGGAAATTCTGTGTATCACACTGCTGTGCATGCGACCTCAAGGGCTGCTTAGGCTACGCATTGTTTAGGGGTAAGATGACTGCCTCCTTGCTATGCATTGTCTTTAGGCACACAGTCCATGTACCCTCAGCTGTTGAACCGAGTGTCAGTTCTTTGTGCCGCCCAGTTGGAGTCAGCTTTGTGATTTGTAATCAGCTTCAGCCAGAGCGTTACCAGTGCTGTTGCTGCTTGTGTTCCTGTGCAAGGCCTGCTGTGCCATCCCCCAGGCAGTGCCCTGCAGATGGGCTGTGGAGGGCTGGGCTGGGACAGGGACTGCTGCGTTCCCTCACAGCTCCCCTGCCATTTCTCTTGTCCCTGCAGGCTCCAGTTCAACTTCTGCCATCCAGCCGTGATCATTTCAGCTGCAGGAGAGCAGCAGATGGCCACAGCACATGCATCTCAGGTAGGGGCTGGGGGAAGCAGGCAGGAGAGGCCGAGGGGCGAGGGATGTGAACGCAGGGGGAGAGGGAGGTGGCCTCAGCCAGCGTGTGTGTGCTGGGGCCAGAGAAGCGGCTGGGACGGGAGTTTGTGTCCTGTGTGAGCTGCTTCCCTGGGCCTTGGCTGTTCCCAGCAAGGAGCCTCTTTGCTTGCAGGAGCCCGTGAGCTTTGCGGAGGTGGCCGTGTCTTTCAGCAGGGAGGAGTGGGCGCTGCTGGACCCCGCGCAGCGAGCGCTGTACCGGGACGTGATGCTGGAGACGTACCAGTGCGTGGCCTCGCTGGGTGAGGGCTTTGCTGCCTTTCCTCCTCGTTAGGGCACCTTAGGCTGTGCAGAATGAGCCTCTGCAGGCTGGAGCTAGTAAAATTGCCATACAGTTACATATTGATAACTACAACAGCAACAAAGGAAATACTGAGAAGAGTGAGTTTAAAGTTGGATTAGAATGCACAGCAGACTTATAAACAACCCAGAGTCGGTGCTGGCAAGCAGGCATCAGCCAGGAGGGAGAAAACCAGCCCTTGTGTTGGTGTGCTGCATGGTGCCACCAGCTCCAGCTCACAGATGACTCCCTGGTTACTCCTTTACAATTTTGGATTTTGCATTCAGTTGCCATAGACATTTTGATGCTTTGGTCATTGATATATTGTCAGAAAATAAACAAACTGTTCTCAAGTTAATTTTAAAGAAAATATCCCTTTTCAGAGATGTAAATGCATATTTTGCTCAAAATGTAACTGTGGGCGTAGTGTCTTTCAGGTACAAAGTGTGGTTTCTTCCTGGGGAGGGACACAGAGTGAGTGGAGTTGTTGAACAGGCACTGTGCCTGAATGATGGAAATGCTCTCATCTCTCCTATTTCTCTCATTTAAACTCCACTTCCAGCCCCCAAACCCATGGTGATCTCCCTACTTGAAGGAGGGGAAGAGCCCTGGATTCCAGATGTACGCACCGGTGAGTTGGTGTGGAGGGAAGGAGGAGGTTGGGTCTGGAAGAGCCATCTCTGTCTCTGTTTTATTTTGGGTCTGTGTGCTATTTCTGGATTTCCCGTCATCCAGCAGGAACTGGGATTGCAGATGTACTGGAGGACCTGCAGGAAAGTGGTGTGGCCGAAAGGCGGTGGGGTGGTGTCTGTGTGGAAGAAATCAGAAGGGATGTCCAAGGAGGCCTGGAGCAAGGTCAGGGTGAGCAGATCATGGAGCCACTGGGAAAGGGTCTGGGAAAGATAGGGAGGAGCCCGTTGGACTTCAACATAGGTCAAAAGGAGCCTGAAGAACTCAGGAGCAAGGATGTATGCCAGCAGAAAAAGCAGAATCCATGTACTGAGTGTGGAAATAGCTTTAAATTACATTGCAGCATCATTAACCACCAGTGCATGCGCTCAGCAATGAGGCCATACAAGTGCTGTAATTGTGGGAAGAGCTTCAAATGGAGATCCCTCCTCATTGTCCACCAGCGTGTCCACACAGGAGAGAGACCCTACAGGTGCTCTGAGTGTGGGAAGAGCTTCAAAATTAGTTCCCACCTCACCTACCACCAACGCACACACACAGAAGAGAAACCATTTTGGTGCCACTGTGGGAAGAGCTTCCAAAGGAGTTGTGAATTCAAGTGCCACGACCGCATCCACACAGAGGAGAGACTCTTTCAGTGTCCTGAGTGTGGGAAGAACTTCAAAAGCAGTTCTGCAGTGAAGCTGCACAAGCGCATCCACACAGGGGAGAGACCCTATAAGTGTCAAGAGTGTGGGAAGAGCTTCAGAAGGAGTTGTGAATTGAAGAACCACCAGTGCATCCACACAGGGGAGGGACCCTTCAAGTGTCCTGACTGTGAGAAGAGCTTTAAAAGCAGATCTAATCTCAACACACACAAGCACATTCACAGCACACACAGGCTTTAGAACCTTTCCAAGACTCTGGGAACCTTCAGAGGCAGTTCCAGCTTCATTACCTACCAGCACAGCCACACAAGATACAGAGCATGCAGTGCCCCAACCATGGGCTGAGCTTCAGCCAGCCTGGTCTCCACCTGTGGTTTCGTGTGGTGAAGAACCTTACAAATCCCTTGAGCAATGGAAGAGCTCTGTGGCCAAACTGAATCCCCTTTCTCCTTCTTTGCGTGGGAATGACCCCTATTGCTCTCATTAAGCTGCAGTCAAGGCATTGTGTGGACACTCTAAGGAGAGTCCAGAGTGGGACATGTCACAGCCACTGGAAACCCTCTACCAGATGGCATGTTTCTGCCAGGGCTGTGTGCAGGGAGATGCCTTGGAATTCACTTCTGATCTCCCCTGTGGAAACTCAACTGCTGTGGGAGCAGGTGAGGACCCAAAGGAAACTTCAGCTGGGCTGATATGTCACCAGGAAGGAAGAAATCCTGTCTGCAGGCAGTGTGGGAAGAGCTTCATCTGGAGCTCAACACTCAGCAGACCCCAGAGAACCAAGGAGGGAAGATTCCCTGTGAGTGCCTTGACTGCAGGTCAAGATCCATCCAGAGCTGGGAGCTCATCACACTGCTGTGTAGATCTTCATGAGGAACCCTACAGATGTGCAGCCAGCAAGAAGAGATTTGGGCACAGCTTGAACCTGCTGAGGTACCAGAGTGTCTGCACTTGGGTGGAGTCCAATCTGTGCCTGCACCAGTGAGTTCATGTGGCAGGAAGCCTTAGAAATGCCTGGAGTGTGAGAAGGGCTTTGTGCAGAGTGCAGAGCTCCTCACTTGTGGCAGAAAGTGCCACAAATGTCCCATGCGTGAGAAGAGCTTTTGTGAGGGGATCCACTCTGGCCAGAGACCTTAGAAATGCCTACATTGCTGCAAGAGCTTCATCCAGAGCTCGATTCTCATTAAACATTGCCCAGTCCAAATGGTAAAGTGGTCCTGCAAATATTTCTAGTGCAGGAAGAGTTTCTATCACAGCTGGCACTTCATTTCTCCTGGGAAAACCCCCAGGGGAGACACCTTGAGGATGCTGACGAGTCCAAGGTTGAGGGAGACCCAGATACATCTCCCAACTCAGAAAGACCTTGCAACAGAGATGGCATCACTGGCACCCTCTGCAGAAGGGACTTAACCCAGGAGCTGCAGATGGCTTTTCCTTGCTGCCCTAAGCTGTTCTCTCACCATGACCACTTTCCTCTTCTGCTCAGCAGCTTTTTGATGCTGTTTCTTAAGGAGAAGTGGCTGTGCAGGGATGTTCTGTGTGCCTGTGTGCATGTGTTGCTCTCAGTAATTTGTGAGTGCACTGATGAACCTGAGAGAAGGGTCAGGAGAGCAGTAACGTGCCTTCTCCAATAAAACTAGAAAAAGCTGAGCTTGTTCTTCCTAAATGCACCCTCCCAAGTTTCAGGAGGTGGTAGGAGCAGAAGGCTGTGCAAACCCACACGGTGCACAAGCAGCTTATCTCCACAGCACAGAGGTATCAGACTGCTCTCTAGTGCATGTTTGCCTTGCTTGTGATCCCTTTTGAACTTCAAGGTTTTTATTTTGAGCTGGGAAGGGTGTGTCCGAGACCTCCTGCAGCAGGGCCTTCACATTTGCTGTGCTCAGATAAACCTGCTGTGCTTGGAATGCAGTGGGTAGGAAGTAAAGCACTGAGTGTGTCTGAAGGCTCTCTGACCCCCCAGCAAGCTGCAAGGAGATGATGATTGCAGTAACAAGGAGCGCTGCTTCTTCCATCCCAGGGAGCAGGGGCCTGGTCTGGTGCAGGAGAGGAGGGCCCTGGGAGTTGCAGGAACTCACAGCTCCAAGGGAAAATGTGTGGGGAGGAAGCAAGCAGCGGGGAGGCCTGGAGATCCCCAGCAACGGGAGGTAGCAGCCCAGCCAAGAGCTGGGATGATTTACTTCTTAATTGCATCCAATAATTGCTGTCCTGTGGCATCGGTCATGTGTTTCCTCTTTCCTTATAGGTTCCCCCAAAAAGCATTCTCACTATTTTGTGTTCTCATCTTACATCACCGTATTCTCAGAACCACTGTGCTGGTTTGCATTGGGTAGAAAAAGTAGAAGAAATAAAGAGTGAAGCAGGTTTTCCTCTTTTACTCCATGAATTATTGCCTAACGTTTTATCACATATCATGTTTAGTTGCTTTCTGAATTTAAAACTTTTTTCCTCTCCAATTTGTTGCAAGCGGGGTAGAAGTCCAGCTCCTTGGAGCAGAGATTTTCTTCTAGAGTTTGTGTGAAAGTGATGGTGAATGGACACATGGAGTGAGATAAGCCTATGGGGGAGGACCTGACTATTCAACTTGTGTTGAATTTTCTGCTCCAGTTGTATGGCCTGTGACATTTATCCAAGAATCTTAGGAATCTTGACAGATCCCAGTTGACTGGAAGCTGGTAAACATCCCAGTTTCCAAGAAGAGCAAGAAAGAAGACCTTGGGAATTACAGGCCTGCCAGTCTCACTGTGGTACCTGCAAAATTATGGAGATCATTCTGGGAGTTTCTGAGAAACACTGCAAAGCCAACACATTTATTGGTAACTGCCAACATGGGTTCAGGAGAGGAGAGTCCTGTGGATAAACTTAATTTGCTTTGATGACAGATTTACTCCTTTAGTCAACCAAGAGAAGCCCAATAAAGCTTCTGCAAAAGATTCTCACAGTATCCTTGTCGACAAAATGTTTGGCATACAACTGATGTAGCAGGGCATAATCACAGAAACAGTGAACCACTGACTGATGGGATGGCCTCAAAGTCCTATAGGAAATAGAGTAACATGAGGCTGAAAGACACTGTTTCCCAAACCATTATAGCAGATGAGCTGAGGAAGTGAGGGTTAGGTGAGTGGAGAATGAGGTGGATTGATATCTGGCTGACTGGCAGGGCTCAGAGGATTGTCTTCACTGGAGCAGAAGACAGTTCTCCCCTCATACTCTGCCCCAGTTGATATCCCCTACGGATCTTCACAAGCATTACTAAGATTCCCTCTTAGCCTTCCCTACAGCAGGCCGAACAGGCCCAGGTCTTTCTGCCTTTCCTCATATGGGTGATGCTCCGGGTCTCAATCATCTTTAATGCCCTCCACTACATTCTCCCAAGCAGCTCTCTGTCTGCATATAAAATCAATGAATTACAGATGCAATAATTATAAATTGCCTTAGCTTTCCTCATTGCATCCCTGCAGGCCCTGGCAGCATTCCATTATTCTTCCCAAGTGCCCATGCCCTTTTTCACATTTCATAGACTTTCTTCCTGCCTTTGCGATTATCTATGAGTTCCTTGCTCATGCATGCTGGTCCCTGTTCAGCTTTGTCTGACTTTTAACACAGAGGGATGTACTGATCTCAAGCGTAGAGGAATCAAAGGAAGTGATGCTTGAATGTTAACCACCTGCCTTGGACTCCCTAATCTTCCAGTGCTCTGACCCAAAGGGTACCTCCAAGTGGGTCCCTGAAGTGCCAGAGTCACGTTTCCTGCTACTGGGCTGTTTTCCTACTTCTTGGCATGGTTCTTCCACTCAGCATCCTGAACTCCACTGTCTCACAGTTCTGACTATGAATGAAAACTCAAGTAGGATTAAGGCCCATTATTAACTCCTGCAGCACACCTGCAGCTGCTGGCCTCCAGCAAAACCTTCTACCACTGACCACCACTCTGACTGGTCTGGCCATTCAGCCAGTTTTTGATCCTCCTCATTCTCTACCTATGCAGCCCCTACATCAGTCACTTTCTCGAGTCAGGACACAAAAACCCTCTGCTTCTCTTTCATCTTCCAACTTAGTACGTTCAAAATAGACACTAAAAAGCTTCTTTAACGTTTCTTGACCCATGACCACTGGTGCTCAAGGGACATCTGGATAAAGCCCTACATAACGTGCTTTCACTTTTTGTTAGTCCTGAAATGGTCACGCAGTTGGACTAAATGATCTCTAAATGTCACTTACAAGTGATTTTTTTTTTTTTTAATAATGGTTGTATAAATCCATGTTGAGATAAAACATAAAAGTTATTATCTTACTGCTACATGTCCTTGGCTGATGAAAAATAAATCATGAGCACTTATAGACAACACTCAAAATTCAGCAGAGTAACTTATTATAAATTTATTACACGGAGATTTTTTTCTACACGTTTTGACTTTTGCGTGACACATTGAATCAGAGGTTGATTCAGCTGTGCTTCATTCAGCAGCATTGCCAAGCACTGGCCTATACTTCCCTGTGTCACACGAACTCTTTCCTCTCCCATTGCAGCAATGAGCCAACACTGCAGGGGAATTAGGCTTCCTCCACAGTCGTGAATGCTTCTGGAAGTCCACTGAAATGTGGGAGGGACAAGAGAGGAGAATAAGGTCAGCTAGCTGATGGGGCATGGCTGAGCACAACCACTGCCCGCAGCAAATACTCCACATCCCACATGCAGAGCCATGCACACCAGATAGAAACTTGTCATTTTCTCCTGGTTGGCACAGCAGGGGCCTTCTTCATGCCATGTTCCCAGGCTAATTCTCTTCATACTTGTTCTCTTCTAGATGCATATTTCTCTCAATTTCTGGGCTCACATACGGTTGGAGTGACTTACTAAGGCCTTCAGACATCACTTCTCACAGATATCCCCCAATCCTGCTTCCCAGACTTACGTACTGCCAACTGCTGCATCCCAGACCACCCGCACTTCAGAAGCCTTCCTGGATCTTCCAGTGCTTGTTAGGATCTTCCTGAATTCTCCAGTTTATGGTGAGATGACTTCTCTATGGCAGGGCCTTGATGAACAGCCTCTTACAAAACATTTGTTTGTAAAGCATGCCGAGTCCTACTCATGCTGAGAATTCCATCTGTCTTGGGAACTGATTTGGAAGAGCAGCAGCCTGATTTACCCCACCTGATACCAGCTGCCAACCAGAGGGTCAGGGATAGGGTTCACTGTTAGAGTTAGGTTTAAGATTAGAGTTCAGGCCAGGGCTAGCACTGATGATTAGATTCAGTGTTAGGTGAAGTGCTAGCACTTGAATTAGTATTAGGTTGAGGGATGTGAGAAGAACTGGTGTTTAGGGGGAAGGGTTCGGGTTTTGGTTAAAGTTTAGGACAAGAAAACGCTAAGGTTAGACTTTAATATTAGGAGTTTGAGTTATGGGTTAGGAGTTAGGGTTGGGGGTTAGAGTTAAGATTAAAGGTTTAGTAAATGGGTTAGAGGTAGCACTAGTCACCAGTTTGCAGCTTCCTCCCATGGAGAAAAACTACGTGAGGACACAGATGGATATGGTTAATTGACAGCAAAGGAAAGCAAAAGGCACAGTTCTGTAAAAGTAAGTTTTACTAAGTCCAAGTTATATCCACTGAATTATGGTGCCACAGAATGGCTTTGGTTGGCAAAATCAGAAAAATCATCTAGTTCCAACCCTCCTTCTTTGGGCAGGGTTGCCAACCACAAGACCAGACTGCCCAGGAACACGTCAAGACTGGCCTTGAATGCCTCCAGAGATGAGGCACTCACAAATTCTGATCTTGATCCATCAGGACTCCCAACTGAATGTGCTTTTCCACAATGGAGATCCTCTGCTCATGTACTTTCTTTGCTGTTATTTCATCGCAGGTGCAATGAGGCATATGCTGAAATCTCGAGTTCCATAGAATCAAGGTAGGAAAAGAAGAGATGATTGAAAGTATTGGAAGGGAACAGAAGAAGCACAAGTAGTTTGAAAATATTGAAGATGTGTTAAAGAAAAAAACATACTAATGGAAAACAACAAAGCACAAGCTTAGACTAGGATACATTAGAAGTCACCTGGGGAGAGAGATGGAATCATCATGATTACCAGGAAACATCCACAGTAACAGTTTCCAAATGGCATCCTTCAGTGCCTGGTTCCTCACACTGTAGATGAGGGGGTTCACTGCTGGAGGCACCACTGAGTACAGAATTGCCACCGCCACATCCATTGCTGGGGAGGAGATGGACTGGGGCTTCAGGTAGGTAAAGAAGCCAGTGCTGATGAAGAGAGACACCACGGCCAGGTGAGGGAGGCACGTGGAAAAGGCTTTGTGCCGTCCCTGCACAGAGGGCACCCTCAGCACAGCCCTGAAGATCTGCACGTAAGAAAGCAGAATGAAAACAAAACACCCTAAAAACAAAAATGCACTGAATGTCATAAGACTGAGATTCCTGAGGTAAGGGTATGAACAAGAGAGCTTGAGAATGTGAGGAATTTCACAGAAGAACTGGTCCACAGCGTTGCCTCGGCACAGTGGCAGTGAAAATGTATTGGCAGTGTGCAGCAGAGAATTGAGAAGCCCAGTGCCCCAGGCAGCTGCTGCCATGCTGGCACAAGCTGTGCTGCCCATGAGGGTCCTGTAATGCAGAGGCTTGCAGATGGCAACATAGCGGTCATAGGACATGACAGTGAGAAGGTAGAATTCGGCTGAAAATAAGAATGAAAACAGAAAGACCTGGGCAGCACATGCAGGGTAGGAGATGGCCCTGGTGTCCCAGAGGACATTGGCCATGGCTTTGGGGACAGTGGTGGAGATGCAGCCCAGGTCGAGGAGGGCGAGGTTGAGGAGGAAGAAGTACATGGGGGTGTGCAGGCGGTGGTCACAGGCTACTGCTGTGCTGATGAGGCCGTTGCCCAGGAGGGCGGCCAGGTAGATGCCCAGCAAGAGCCAGAAGTGCAGGAGCTGCAGCTGCCGCGTGTCTGCCAGCGCCAGGAGGAGGAACTCGCTGATGGAGCTGCTGTTGGGCATCTGCTGCTCCTGGACACGGGTTATCATCAAAGGAGAAACAAAAGGCAAGTTAGGTGAGACTTCTCTTGGCAAAACCCTGCACCATTCCTTGGTGACCTTCCTCCTGTCATATAATCCATTTTCTTTCTCTGAAGGAAGTGATTGTTCAGATCCATGATTTGAGATCATTTTCATGAATTGGAATATGTAAGGAAGAGGAGAGTCTTTTGCCCGTGGGCTCTTGAGAAAGCAATCCTGACCCACCCATGGGTAATTGCAAAGAGGCAAAAATTGGATTTACTTTTAGAATGTGACATCTCTCTTGGCATCTCCCCACTTCATCTCCCTGGGCTTTCAGGTAACACAGAGATGCTATGGGAAAGATTTGCATCCTGCAGGGCAGCTCGCAGCTTGAAAAGACATCTGTCTTAGAGAGACAGCCAAGTGTCCTAATGATGGCATCTCATTAAAAGAATGTCAGCTCATTCCCTAGCCTCACAGACTTTGCTGTCCACAGCCCCAGGCAGCTGCTCCTAGCCCCATGTACTGCAGAAGGAAAGGAGCTCATGCCTGGAGAGATGCAGCCCTGCTCTGCTGGAGCTCTGGCTGCAGAGTAGGGAGTTCATGCTTGGACACCACTGCCATGAAGGCAGAGGTATTTCTGGGTGGGAGAGGATGCAGGGGGCTTGCATGGAAGGGATGCTATGTGGTTGTCTCTTGAGTTGCCTCTGCAGACAACATTTCTGTTTTTCCTTTCCTCTCATTGCCTGATCACATCCCAGCTGCCTAGAGATTGTCTTCCCTCCCTGCCATTTCCATGTCTCATGTCTTTTCCTTCTTTTCCTTTCTGCACTCACACTCACCACCCAAAAGTCAGTGCACCCATCTTTGCCTGTCAGGAAACTGCCTGTTTGCAGGGCAGTATCTGTGTGCATGCTTCTCTTTGCAGGTATAAACAGACAAATCAGAAAGCCTGAATGGGATCAACAAAGCTGACGCTCGTTCTGTCCACTGAGTGAGGAAAGGCTGATGGAACATGAGGATACTGCTCACAATCCTACTCAACTCCAAAGCTGCAGTACAGCAGTCTCAGTGATGTGTCAACATAGACAGCTCCTCTCCCATTTTGCCAGTCATCCCTGCCCTAAGGGCAGGAAAATGAACACAGGGCAGAAGGTCCCATTTTGGGTCCTGCTTCTTAAAAAGTCCCCTCTGCAATGCCCTGAGTGTGCAATGCAGCTGTGAGCCCCCAGCACCCCTAGCAGCAGAAGGCCCCTGTGCTGCTGGGGAGCTCCTTCCTTCCCCCCACACATCTCCCTGCAACTACCTGGCTCTGCAGGACAGTCCTTTTCACTTCCATGGGGACGGGATTCAGCTGAATCAGTTGAGGCATCTTATCCTGAAGTTGCAGCCCTAGGTCCTGAAGGCAGTCAACTCCCTCCCATTCCTCCCACACACAAAGCTAGACAAGCACTGACTACACATTTGGCCACAAGCATCCCTCCTCTTCCGCAGGCTTCTTTCTCCTCCATCTACATTAATTCCCATCTTTGTCTGGTGCAGTCACTATCCCCTTATCAGCTCTCACTGACTACATTTCCCTCTTGCATCCCCACACTGCTATCCCCATGCTGGCTGTGCCTCCCTCTCCCTGACAGAGCTGCCATCTGTGTCACAGGGGTTGTGCTGCACTCACTGACATCTCTGTGTCTGCTGTAATAAAAAATGCCCTTAAATATGACAACTCCTTTTTAGGACAGTGCTCCTAGAAAGCTTTGTCTGCAACACTGAGACCTCCCTTGAAGACTTGAGGGAAATGCCTTGTTAGGTCTTTCTGCACTGTAATGAGTCCCACAGCGAATGAGGTGTCCATGAACTTCTGGTACTGAGAAAAGCCTGCTGTAACCAAATGATGAAGGTGCAGTCAGAACGCTGTCCAGAAATGTTGGAGAGTGTTGGAATATTAATTGGTCCCTGAGGGGCCATTACCAACAAAGCCTCCCCACATCCATGTTAGAGCAGATAATTGGAGGTTGTGATTCCCGGCAGGCAAAGGCCCTGTGCAGATGCTTTGAGATTGAGGCAAGCCCTTGGTTTGTCTGATGCAACAGAAGGGTAGGGCCATAGCTGCAGCCTCTGGGAAGGGTGGTCCTGTCCCTCCCTGATGGCCCAAAGCTCTCCCACAGTCAGTGGGATGTGAATCATAGAATCATTTAATCACAAGGTTGGAAACGACCTGCAAGATCATCCAGTCCAACCATCCTCCCATTACCATTGCTACCACAAACCCCTAAGCCATATCTCAGCTCCTCATCCAGATGCCTCTTGAACGCTGCGAGGGGCGGCAACTCCACCTCTTCCTGGGCAGCCATTCCATTGTCTGACCACTCAGAGAAAAAGGTGCCAAAACCCTCCTCCTCTCAACCTCTCTTCAGGAAGTTTGAGAGTATAATAAAGTCTCCTCTGAGCCTCCTCTTCTTCAGACTAAACAATCCCAGCTCCCTCAGCCACTCCTCATAGGATTTGTGCTCCAGACCCCTCACCAGTTTTGTTGCCCTTCTCTGGACATGCTCCAGGGCCTCAACGTCTTTCTTGTAGCGAGGGGCCCAAAACTGAACACAATATTCGAGGTGCAGCCTCACCAGTGCTGAGTAGAGGGGGATGATCACCTCCGTGCTCCTGCTGGCCACACTGTTTCTCATGCAGGCCAGGATGCTGGACCTCTTGGCCACCTGGGCACACTGTTGGCTCGTGTTCAGCCAAGCATCAACCAACTCCCCCAGGTCCCTTTCCTCTTCACAGTCATCCAGCCACTCAGCCCCAAGCCTATAGCGCTGCATGGGATTATTGTGGCCAAAGTGCAGGAACTGGCACTTGGCCTTGTTGAACCTCATCCCATTCCCCTCAGCCCAGTGATCCAGCTTATCCAGATCCCTCTGCAGGGCCTCCCTACCCTCAGGCAGATCAACACTGCCTCCCACCTTGGTGTCATCTGCAGACTTACTGAGGGAACACTCAGTGCCTTCATCAAGGCCATCAATAAAGATATTAAACAAGATGGGCCCCAGTACCAACCCCTTGGGGACACCACTTGTAACAGGTCGCCAGTTGGACTTAGCTCCATTAACCACTGCCCATTGGCCACGGCCCTCTAGCCAGTTCCTTAGGCAAAGAAGAGTGGACCTGTCCAAGAAGAGTACACCTGTCCTATGTCCATGTGTAGTGTTCTGTGAGGAAAAATGATATGACAACTACTGGCCTGCTACTACTACTCCCTACAGGACTGGAAGAAGGCAAGGAGGCCTCAGTGGCACAATGACAACATGTGCCCTCTTGAGCCTCAAGAGCAGACACAAGTGCCACAGCCAAGAGGACAAAGACCTTGGTTTTCTCCCAGGGCCCTCCAGCCTTGCCAATGCTGTTGGCCATCTCCACCAGAGGCTGTTCCATGCAGTCCTACACTTGCCTCCTTTTCCCTGCAGGCTGCAGACACTCACCTTGACTCCTGCACTGGCACTCACCTGGCCTTGCCTTACTCTGATGGTTCTGCAGTCTCACTAGTTGTTCCTTGTGACACAACAGCACAAATTGATCACAGAGTCCTGCTGGGTGTCTCTGGCACCATAGCACTACCATTGTAGGGGAGGACTGACCTGTCAGTTTGTGCAGAAAGAATCACTTCTAAGGTCCTTTTCCAGCCATGTTCCTCTTGTAGTCTTTCAGGAGATTTCCACAAAATGGTAATCCTTTATGCGTCGACCCTCTCACAATTGTATCTGTCTAAGCTGTATGCTATATAAGGAAATCACAGAAGGCTTGAATTACTTTACAGCTCTCAGAGAAAAGGAGAAAAAGGAAAGAGAAATTAAAATGAGTAGGAAGATCACCCTGCTTATTATCCTTTATGTCCTTCACTAGCTTCAGCTCAGCGTGAACTTCAGCCTTCTATGTTGCTTCTCTGCAGGCTTTGACAACACACCTGTACTCCTCCCAAGGGGACATGCCCTTTTTTCCACTTTTCCTAAACCTTCTTCTTCCCTTTGATCTTATCCATGAACTCCTTGCTCATTCATGCAGGTCTCCTGAATCCATTCCCTAATTTCCTACTCCTAGGGATGCACTAATCCTAAGCTTGGAAGAAGTGCTGTTTAAATGTTGGCCAGATCTCAAGGGCCCTTTTACCTTCAAGCACTCCAGCCTATGAGATACCTCCAAGTAGGTCCCAGAAATTGTTGAAGTGGGCTGTCTGAAAGTCCAGGGCAGCAATCCCACTTTTTCCCTTACTTCTTCCACCCAAGATCTTGAACACCACCATCTCATGATCAGCATCGCAAGCTTCCCCCAAACTTCTCATCCCTAACAAGTCCATGCCTGCTGGAAAGAACAAGGTCCAAAATCATCCCATCCCTTGCTGACTCCTCCAACACCTGCGTGACAAAATTATCTTCAGCACATTGCAGAAACCATCTGGGTTTTGTGTGCCTGAGCATGTTGTTTACCCAGCAGATATTGGACTGATAGTGGATGATTCAAGTCCCCTATGAGAACCAGTGCATGGGATTGCAAGGCTACTTCCAGCTGCATGAAGAAGGCCTCATCGACTTCATCCTCCTGATCTGGTGACTGTAGTACACCCCACAACACTGTCGGCCATACCAGCCCTGCTCTTAATTCTCACCCACAAGCACTCCACACGTTCTTCACCCACTCATGGGTGCACCTCAATCCATTCTAGTTGTCTCACATAAAGGTCAACTCCTCCACCTTGCTTCCCCAGCCTGTCTTTCTTCAAAAGGACACAGACCTCCATGACAGCATTCTAATCATGTGAGCTGTTGCACCACATCTCTGTGACTGCAGTGAGATCATGATCCTGCAACTGTACACAGATCTCCAGCTCATCCTGTTCATTTCCCATGCTATGCACACTGGTCTACAGGCACTTCAGGGAAGCAGCAGGTGCAGTTACCCCTAGAGGGACACAGGAAGATTTTGGATGGGGTATTGGCAACATGACCTTCTCCGAGGAGTCCCTGTATGATCCTATGGGACAGCTCAGAGGTTTTCTCTGCAATCTCCAACAGTGACAACATCCCTCAGCCCTTCTCTGCCATAATGAATTTCCCTCCCTTGCCTTTTCGGACCTAGTTTAAAGCCCTGGCAATCAATGCAGACAGCATGCTCCCCAGCACAGGTGTGCCTCACTTGCTCGGTTGGAGTCCATCAAGAGCCCACATACCCAGTTTCTCAAAAGCCTTCACAAGATCAGAATACCCAAAGCCTTGATCACAACGCTGCCCCTTCAGCCAGGCAACAAATGGCAGCCTCAGTTCTCCCCAGCCAGGAGCCCCCAATTACTAAGACTCTCCATCATTTTTTTGTGGCACTGATATTGATGCAGTGCCCTGTCTGGCCCTCTGCCCTGCATCCTCAAGGGCATGAGTTCTGACTGCACAGTTCTGCATTTCCTCACTCAAAGAATGTGAGACATTGTCACTGTAGATAACAGCAGCAGTAGGAAGATTAGAGAAGCAAAATGATCGACCTCACGCTGCATTTTTCCCACTGACTGATACTGAGTCCCCTAAGCAAGACAGAGAGTACTTCTGCTCCTGGGTGGATGTGTATCTCCCACATGACTTCAACAGTTGTATATAATCAGTTGGCCATGAAAACCACAGAGCTCATTGGCTTTGTTCTACAACCCCTACATTTCTGGGAATCCAGTGACCCACTAGTACAAGAGAGGCTCTTCTTGAGATATTTCATAAAAGAATAAAGTATTCATTGGTATCATCATCCAGGCTGAATGGCTTATAATGGACTCCCACAGTGACATCCTCTTTAGTTCCTTGTCCCTTAATCCATACCCAGAGGCTTTCAACCATGTCATTACTAACTGTAAGCTTCTTTCCATCCAGCCCACCAGTGCCAGTATCACCACCAATCCCATCCCATCTCATCTGCCCTGCATCTCCAGCCTGCAGAGCTCAGAGCCATCCATCACACACAGCACACCCGTCACAGGACCGTTCCCACCACCTCTCACTCATGCTGATGATGCTGCAGCACACAGGGCCTCCGACTTTGGAGGCCAATGCGAAAAACCAGTAACACCTAACAGCCTTGCACATGGGCACCTGGGGGGCTGGTTGTTCCCTTGGGAGCTCTGTCTGTGCCTGTGTTGATTCCATGGGTGCAGAGGTGACCTATGACACAGAGGGCACAGCTCTCTGTGGGGTGGATGCAACTACTGGTAGAATTCACCAAGACAAAACCTCCAAAGTGAACATCCACCCTGAGAATGGAAATCCCCCACCTCCATGCCCACGATTTTACCACAACTAAAACAAACCATTGTGGCATCTGAAATGCTCCTGTTCCTGTAGATGGGGCGCTGCAGTCACAACTCTGCAAGGACTCATGTCCACAACAGAAGCACTTTCCCCAGAGCAGAGGAAAAGATGGGAAGTTCAGAGTCAGAGAAAAAAATCTTGAGTAACTTTAAATGCAACTAAAAACAATGTGTGACAAAACATGGGGGGAAATCAACAGTATTTTTTTTTTTTTCTCCCAGGGAAAAAGTGGAAAAACAGCTTCACTAGCTTACCAAAATCAATCTCCACATCCTGCAAGCCATATTCAAAGCACAGCAGCTTTAGCAGAGCCCAGCAAAAGTGAAGGAGATCTCAAAATACCTTCCCAAGGTCAAAAGAAAAACCTTCAAGCTCAGAAGGTATCACTTGCAAGGCAAGCACACACTGGAGAGCACTCTGATATCTCTGTGCTGTGGGGATGAGCTGCTTGTGCACCCTGTAGCTTTGCACTGCCTTCTGCTCTCTCCACCTCCTGAAACTTGGGATGGTGCATTTAGGAAGAACAAGCTCAGCTTTTTGTAGCTTTATTGGAGACAAACAAGGCTTGGTGTCACACAGCTGCTCTGAGCTCTTGATTAAAGCAGTCAAGAAGAGCAGTAGAACCAAGGTGCAGCACAAGGTGCAGGAAGGATGATAGTGTTGTGTGAAAGAAATGCCTTTTCCAGAAGCAAGCAGTGGGCTGGAGTTGGCACCAAAACCAAATCCTGATTGCACCATTCCCTCTCCTCATTCCACATGCTGACATTTATTTTAAGAACAAAAAACCAAAACTACAGTGAAGAAAACTTCAGTACAACACAGCTACTTTATTCACCCCCTTCTCATTCCTCTACAGATGATTCTCAGAAAACCTCCAAGAGCCACATTACTGCTCTCCTGATCCTTCCCTCATCAGGTTAATCAGTGCACTCACAAATTACTGAGAGCAACACATGCACACAGACACACAGAACATCCCTGCACAGCCGCTTCTCCTTAGGAAACAGCATCAAAAAGCTGCTGGCAGGCAGAGCAGAAGAGGAAAGCGGGCATGGTGAGAGAACTGCTTTGGGTAGCAAGGAAAGGCCATCTGAAGCTCCCTGGTTAAGTGTCCTGTGCAGAGGGTGCCAGTGATGCCATCTCCTTTGCAAACTCCTCCTGTGTGGGGAAAAGCATCTGGGCGTCATCCTTGGGCTTGCCAGAATCCTCAAGGTCTCTCCGCTAGCAGTTTTCCTGTGAAAAATGAGGTGCCAGCCCAGACACAAACTTTTCCTGCACCAGAAACATTTGCAGGGCCACCATCTCATGTGGACTGGGCAATGTTCAATGGGGATCAAGCTCTGGATGAAGCTCTTCCTGCAGTGCAGGCATTTCCATGGTCTCTGCACTGAGTGGATCCCCTGGCAAAAGCTCTGCCCACACATGGGACATTTGTAGCACTTCTTCCATGAGTGCCATCTCCTGTGAGTGAGGAGCTCTGAGCTCTGCACAAAGCCCTTCTCACACTCCAGGCATTCCTAAGGCTTCCTGCCACATGAACTCACTGGTGCAGGCATGGATTGGACTCCACCCAAGTGCAGACACTCTGGTACCTCAGCAAGTTCAAGCTGTGCCCAAATCTCTTCTTGCTGGCTGCACATCTGTAGGGTTCCTCACATGGACCCACTGGTTTGTGATGTGCTCCCAGCTCTGGACAGCACTCACAGAGACTTTCCCCTTGGTTGGCTCTCTGGGATCTACTGAGGGTTGAGCTCCAGATGAAGCTCTTCCCACACTGCCTGCAGACAGGATTTCTTCCTTCCTGGTGACATATCAGCCCAGCTGAGATTTACATTGGGTCCTCACCTGCTCCCACAGCAGTTGAGTTTCCACAGGGGAGATCAGAAGTGAATTCCAAGGCATCTCCCTGCACACAGCCCTGGCAGAAATGTGCCTCAGAGGGTTTCCAGTGGCTGTGACACGTCCCACTCTGGACTCTCCTTAGAGTGTCCACACAATACCTTGACTGCAGCTTAATGAGAGCAATAGGGGTCATTCCCACGCAAAGAAGGAGAAAGGGGATTCAGTTTAGCTGCAGAGCTCTTCCATTTCTCAAGGGATTTGTAAGGTTGTTCACCACACAAAGCCACAGGTGCTGACCAGGCTGGGGCTCTGGCTGAAGCTCTTACCACCCTCGGGGCTCTGCAGACTCTGTTTCCTGTGTGGCTGTGCTGGTAGTTAACGAGGCTGAAACTGCTTTTGAAGGTTCACTTGAGATGCTTCTTAAGCCTGTGTGCGCTGTGGATGTGCTTGTGTGTGTTGAGATTAGATCTGTGTTTGAAGCTCTTCTCACACTCAAGACGCTTGTAGGGTCTCTCTCCTGTGTGGATGCGCAGGTGTAGCTTCAATTCATAACTTCTTTTGAAGCTCTTCCCGCACTCTTGACACTTATAGGGTCTCTCCCCTGTGTGGATGCGCTTGTGCTGGTTCAATTCAGAAGTTCTTTTGAAACTCTTCCCACACTCAGGACACTTAAAGGGTCTCTCTCCTGTATGGAGGCGCAGGTGGCGGGTTAGGTGGGATCTCCATTTAAAGCACTTTCCACAATCAGAGCACTTGTACGGGCTGTTGAGTGTTGAGTGTATGTACTGGTGGTTAACAATGCTGGAATTTATTTTAAAGCTTTTCCCACACTCAGCGCACTGATTCTTCATTTTCCACATACCCATGCTCCTGCAGTCTTCAGGCTGATTTTGACCTACACTGAAGTCCAGTGGCTTCCTTGATGTCTTTCCCAGACCCTTTCCCAGTGGCTTCTTGATGTGCTCACTCTGACCTTGCTCCAGGCCTCCTTGATTTCTTCCACAGAGATGCCACTCCACTGCCATTTGACCACACCACTTTCCTGCAGATCCTGCAATATATCTGTAATCCCAGTTCCTGCTGGATGACAGGAAATCCACAAAGAGTACACAGTGCCCAAAATTAAACACAGAGATGTCTCCTTCAGCCCCAGCCACCTCCTTCCCTCCACCACCTCACCTGGGCTGAGGTCTCGTGGAACGGCCTCAGGGCTACGCACATCTGGGATCCAGGGGTCTTCCCCTCCTTCAAGCAGGGAGATCAGCACGGGTCTGGGGGCTGGAAGTGGAGCTTCAATGACAGAAATATGGAGATAAGAGAGTTTCCCTGACTCTGGCACAGATGCTTGTCCACCAACTCCAATCTCAGGCCCACCCTACAGTGAAAGTACAATTAAGGCCAGAATGACATTTATAGAATTATAATTTTATAGAATTTCCTTTCATATTTTTCAAACTGCTCTATGCCGAACGTTTCAAAAATATTTATGGGAATGGAATAAAGAGACAATTAATTCCTAAGAAGTTACCCTTGAGTAGTCTGGCTGCAGGAGCTGCTGGCACCATGCAACACAACAGAAGGGCGTCTGCAGGGAGCTGGTTCACCCCCTCCTGGCTGATGCCTGCTTGCAAGCACTGACAATGCATACTAAGCCCTTCGGAAACTCATGCTTCTCAGTCTTTCCTCTGTCGCTGTTGTAGTTATCAATATGTGACTGCATGGCAATTATGCTAGGCCCGGCCTGCAGAGGCTCATTCTGCACAGCCAAAGGTGCCCTAACGAGGAGGAAAGGCAGCAAAGCCCTCACCCAGCGAGGCCACGCACTGGTACGTCTCCAGCATCACGTCCCGGTACAGCGCTCGCTGTGCAGGGTCCAGCAGCGCCCACTCCTCCCTGCTGAAAGACACGGCCACCTCCGCAAAGCTCACGGGCTCCTGCAAGCAAAGAGGCTCCTTGCTGGGAACAGCCAAGGCCCAGGGAAGCAGCTCACACAGGACACAAACTCCTGTCCCAGCCGCTTCTCTGGCCCCAGCACACACAAGCTGGCTGAGGCCACCTCCCTCTCCCCCTGCATTCACATCCCTCGCCCCTCAGCCTCTCCTGCCTGCTTCCCCCAGCCCCTACCTGAGATGCATGTGCTGTGGCCATCTGCTGCTCTCCTGCAGCTGAGATGATCACGGCTGGATGGCAGAAGTTTCACTGGAGCCTGCAGGGACAAGAGAAATGGCAGGGGAGCTGTGAGGGAACGCAGCAGTCCCTGTCCCAGCCCAGCCCTCCACAGCCCATCTGCAGGGCACTGCCTGGGGGATGGCACAGCAGGCCTTGCACAGGAACACAAGCAGCAACAGCACTGGTAACGCTCTGGCTAAAAGATGAATCATCTCAAAGCTGTGTCAAACTGTGGGGCGGAAAGAACTGTCGGCTGACACTCAGTTCAACAGCTGAGGGCACACGGACTGTGTGCCTAAGACAAAGCATGGCAAGGACTCTGCCATCTTGCCCCAAAACAGGGAGCAGCCCAGGTGCCCTTTCAGCTCTCCTGCACAGCAATGGGCTGCACCATGGGATCTCCCCTCAAATAGGGATGTGTCTCAAGGTCACACTAGCACAGAGATCCAACACAGCATGATGTCAAGACTCGTTCTTGATACAGATCTTCTGTAAGAGACTCATGCTTACTTTGGAGCATTGTGAGCTTAGCTCTAATGTCTTAGAGGGACTGTGCACACACAAGTCCTTCCACAAAAACCCTTGACCAAGCCAGGGATGAGGACTGGATCCAGCCACTTGCAGGCTCCTTACATCTGTGGTTTGAAGAGTTGAGATAGGAGGGGAACTACTCTGAGCCTCGTGACACAGTGGGAGGGCCTCCTGTATGTGTCTGTGTAACACTATCCTCTATGCACTAAATAACCAAGTGTATCCAGCCATTTCCAAACTTGTTATGTCACTATTAGATCACTACAACCTATCTGTATTGTATCAATATATATAGTAATAGAATCACACCGAATGGGTTGAAAGTGACCTCAGGGGTCTTGAATCTCCAATCCCCCTACCACATCCAGGGCCACCAATCTCCACATTTAATACTAGACCAGGTTGCCCAGGGTCCCATCCAACCTACCCTTGAACACCTCTAGGGACAAGGTATCCTTAACCTCTCTGTTCCAGCACCTGGCCACTCTCATAGTAAAGAGCTTCCCCCTGACATCGCACCTAAATCTTCCCTCCCTCAACTTAAAACCATTTCCCCTTGTCCTGCTGTTATCTACCCTTCTAAAGAGTTGATTCCCCTCATGTTTGTAGGCTCCCTTTAGGTATGGAAAGACTGCAATGAGGTCACCCTGCAGCCTTCTTTTCTCCAGGCTGAATAAGTTCAGCTCCCTCTACGGCAGCGGGACCTGGGGCAATTACTTAGAGACGACTCGATACGAGTTAGCAGCTAAGTCCAACGTTTAATGGCAGAGCAATAGAATATATAACTTTAGGTACATTTGTCGCATTCTTATTGGTTATTGCTTATTCACATCCTCCTGTAACCGTGACAACACGAAATTCCCCGCTGTGCCTACCCCTCACAATGGCTTTTTCATACAACTTGCAACAAGTTGTTTACCCAAATTCCTCTACACCATTATCATGTCCTTGAAACATGGCCTTGTTTCTCAAGCCAGTCCTCAACATCCTTCAGCCTGTATTTGTAGTGGAGGTACTCCAGCCCCCTGATAATCTCTGTGGCTCTCATCTGGACCCCCTCCAACAGCTCTCTGTCTTTCTTGTACTGGGGGCTCCAGACCTGGCCACAGTTCTGCAGATGGGGCCTCACAAAGGCAGAGTAGAGGGGGCAATCATCTACACGTCCTGCTGGCTGCCCCTCTTTTGATGGAGCCCAGGATCCCATTTGCTTTCCGAACTACAAGAGCACACTGCTGGCTCACATTCAATTTTTCTTCCCCAGGTACCCCAGGTCCTTCTCTGCAGGGCTGCTCTCAAGGACCGCTCCTTCCAGTCTGTATAAATGCATGCAATTCCTTCGGCCCATGTGCCAAACCTTGTTGAACCTCATTAGGTTCACCCAGGCCTACCTTTCAAGTCTGTTGAGGTCCCTCTGAATGGCATCCCTTCCTTCCACTGTGTCAACTGCACAACTCAGCTGGGTGTTGTCAGCAAACTTGCTGAGGGTGCATCCAATTCCATCGTCTATGTCATTGATAAAGATGTTAAAGAGCACTGGTCCCAAGACAACACCTGGGGGACACCATTCTTTATGGGCCTCCACCTTGACATAGCATCATTAATCACCACCCTCTGTCTGCAGCCTTTCCACCAATTCCTTACCCATTGGGTGGTCCACCCATCAATTCCCCATCTCTCCAACTTGGAGGTAAGGATGTGGTGGGGGACCATGTCAAAGGCCTTGCTCAAGTCCTGGTAAATGACATCAGTCACCTTTCCTTTGTCCACCAATGCTGTCACTCCATCATAGAAGGCCACCAGATTGGTTAAGCATGACCTTCCCCTGGTGAAGCCGTGCTGACTGTCTCAGATCACACACACATTCCTCATGTGATCAAGCATGTCATTCCATGATCTGCCCAGGTACAGAAGTGAGACTCACCGGCCTGTAGTTCCCCAGGTCCTCCTTGCTCCCTTTCTTATAAATGGGAGTGTCGTGACCCTTCCTCCAGTCATCTGGGACCTCACCTGACAGACACAACTTTTCAAATATGATGGAGAGTGGCTCGGCAACCACCTCAGCCAGCTCCTTCTGAATCCTGGGATGCACGCCATCTGACCCCATAGACTTCTAAGCATTCAGTCTCGTGAGGCGGTCTTGGACTTGCTCTGTCGTTATGGTGGGGGCATTTACTGCCTGGGTCCCCACCTGCTTTTCCCTTAGGAGTGTATATTGTGTTTGGATCCATCTGTGACAAGTTGGCAAAGTCTGCAGAACAGCAAGAAGGGACACAAACTGATTACAAGAGACATGGGGCACATCCCAAATTCTTCTATGAATGCTCTCATGACAACTATTGTAGTTGAGAAGTAAGCAGATGTCATTAGGGGCGTAAAAGGATGAAAAAGAATGGTGTTATCAGCATAATGTCAGGTTTGGAAGTAACATATGAAGCAAAGGAGATGGTTCTTCCCTGGATGAAAAACGACTGATATTCGCAATATTTCTGCTGCGCTACAGTGTAGAAGTTCTGAAGATAATGTTTATTCACAAAATAAACAAAGACCTCCCTGTGTCACCTACAATCCTTTATGCCACACATGGTGAACCTTTATAGTTTGATTCCAAACAGATGTGAAATTGCACCAAGAACACTGTAATTGAAGGCACTGCCTCTCTGTTCACCAAACAGAGGCAGCAGAATTAGTGCTTAGTGTCTAGCTTAGCTGCAGTTAAAAAAACACAACAGTGATAGATGAGAAAGGGGAAAGGGAGTTTTATTGGAGGTCTGAGTGGAGAAGCAAGATGACAAAATACAACAAGGACAGCCTGTACCAATCGGGTGTCGTGGTTCTATGTTTTTTGTTTTTTGGGTTTCAGTATTAAAGTGCCACTGCCCCAATCCCAGGTTCCCATCCCTGTACATTACAGCAGTCACGAGATCTGGCCCTTCCGGGTGGGGGGGGCGCTCTCTTGTTGCCTGGCAGTGGATGCTGGAGGTGCTTTCCTGGCCGTTCCAAGCTGTTCAGGTTTGACTCAGTCCCGGGAACTCTCTCTCTCATCTTGTCTGATTTATTAATCTCAATTTCAATTAAATTGTATATATTGTGTTATCTTGTATTCCGATATTATAGTAAAATAAGTTTTCCTCCATAGATTGTTGCCGTTATTTTCCTCCCTTCCTTCCTTCCCATTTTTTGTGGGACTGGGGTGGTGGGGAGGGCAGAGGCCTGTCGCCCCTGTCACGGACATAGATTGATCTGGTCAACTTCATGACACTGGGGGATCTTTTGGTTGACTGGAAGCACGCCTAAAAAGGATTGCTACCCAGGAAAGAGCTGCAGAAAACTGTCAGGAAATGGTACAGCCATCCAACCGTAGGATGGTGCAGAGAAGTACCTGCATCACTGAAGAACACTGAATGCAGCCCCAGCACACAAACACAGCGAGCCTCAGCGCAGACCGCAGCTGCCAGCAGAGCAGCCTGCTGGAGAACCACCTCTACAGACAGTAAGGGGAACACCTGCTGGCAAAGGGATTCAATCCTCTGGGAGATGTCCGTACATCTTCTCAGGAGTGGAAATACCCATGGCCTTGATTAAATCGACTA